CAGAATCCCCCAGCCAGCATGGCTGGCTGGGGAATTCTGGGAGTTGAAGTCCACTCATCTTAAAGTAGCCAAGTTTGGACAACACTGGATTAGTAGGTCCGCAGTCTCAAATTCCCAGCTGCACCACCGCTGCACTTTTCTTTTCTTATGGTCTCCCTCCAGTCTCCTTTCTCAGAAAATAACTTTGGATGCTAGAAATCTCCTTGGCTGAGCATAAATTTTAGTGGAAGAGTCAGCAGGGAAGGAAGCCGCGAGCGGATTCTGCCTTTTCCTCTTCATGCTGTTTTGTGGGAAGCTGGCGTTGTCCAAGGCAGTTTCTTAGCGCTTCCGCAAATAACGGTTGTGTTGTGGCTCCCTTTGGAAGCCAGTTTTGGACTCGGTTCTGCCATTTGGTTTCTGTGGCATCTGGGCAGAGAGCTACCTTCTCACGTTCATTCTCCCTCTGCTTCCAGATGTGTGCGCCTGTGTGCACGTATCTGTATTGGCTGATTGGCCCAGTTGCTAGCAAAATCTGTAAGTCACGGTTAAGGGTGGGAAGCGTATGGGTGGGGAACTTCACAGGACGCCTTTAGGTGTTAGTTCTAGAGAAAGGTTGGAGCCTCTTTTCCAAAATTACTACTGGCATTGTTGCATTATTATTATTATTACAATTAGTAGTAGTAGCAACAGTAGTAGTATACTAATTCCCCAGCAAAAAATTGTTTCAGTTGTTAATCAGAAAGATTCCCTCTCTTTAAGGCAGTCCAGTGCTGTGGGTTTACTGCAGTTCTCTGTACTATTTAGGCTGCAAATGTACAGTGGGAAAAAATCGGTCAAAATCGCTGAGTCTGATACCCAAGTAGACATAAAGAGGATTACACGATAAAATGTTCAAATTGCAATGATTTGCTTGGCAGTTTGCAAGATAGACGGGTGTGCTGATGTTTCCCCGTTCTTGAACTTCTTTCTTTTTCCTTTAGATTTTATCTTGGTGGACCCACAAGTGTGCGCGGATTCAGTATGTACAGCATCGGGCCTCAAAGCGAAGGTGCGCGTTTCTTCAAGCAGTTGCTCGGCAGTCGCGTTAGGGATCAAGCAACTCTTGCTGAAAGGTTGCTTAACGTTTGAGCAGCTTTGCTTCTGAGCTATGAACCTCCATCCTGGGCTTGTCGGGAGGAGCCGTGGAAGTCACGATCTGGAGCCTGCCAGGGTTTGGGTAGGGAAAACAGGTTCCAACTCAAACAAGATGGAGCCGCTATCGTTTCAGAGGCTGACTGATTTCAGGACTGCGCCATCTTTGGCTCTGGATGTGGCTGTGCTCCCCAATTGGGATTCCTCCTGGGCTCTTGGATCCTGCTTCAAGAGCAGGCAGAGACGGTGACTGGGATGGCCTTTGCACAGCTGCGGCTGGTGTGTCCGTCGCAAAGTCACTTGGAAGTTGGTCACTCGCACCCTGGCTGCCTCTAGATCAGAGTATTCTAAGTTGCTTTACATGGGGCTGCCCTTGAAGATTACCCGGGAGCCTCAGCTGCTCCAGAGGACAGCAGCACATGGGCTTAGTGGTCAGTTACAGTCCTGCCATCTGATGCTGATGCTGTGAGAGCTGCACTGGTTACCGGTCAGTTTCCGAGTGCCGTTCAGAGGCTGTTTGCTGCCTCTGAAACCCTATCATGACTCGGGGTGTGGCCATCTCAGAGACTGCCTTTCCCCAGTCGTTTCTGCTTGCCCTGCCCAAACAGCTAGGGACGCCTGTGGGGAGATATGGGGGGACAGGGCCCAGGGCGGGCGTTCTCGGTGGCAGTTCCCCCCCCACCTATGGAAGAGCTTGCCCCCTAAAGCAAGGATGGCCCCCCTCTCAGGCCTTCTGGACGCAGGTAGAAATCTGCCTCTGCCACAAGGCCTCTGGGATTCATTACAACCAGCACTTCTTTAGCTCATTAATACTAGTACCTACACTGGGGATTAGATTTTGGATTTTACCATTTTAACGAATTATACTGATGTTCTGTTTTATTGGTAAGTTCTGCCCAGAATTCTGCTCTGTTAATGACCGCCCTTAATAACTACTTTAAACTGCCCCATTTTCCCAAAATAAGAAATGCTGCTTGGTGCTGCTCCTTTATTCACAGCTTCCTACCTAGCAGTTTCGTGTTCTGCACTGGCTTTAATTTCAGAACAATCGTGCAGCTGCTGTTTGCTACGCGTGTATCAGCCCCTGCCTGAAACAGCGCATTGCCTTTTCTTGTGGGGCAGATACCTGTGCAATTTTCTTTCAGATGAAGAAGTTCTTGTTCGGACCCTTGCTTTGAAAAAACGTCTCTTGGATTTGTAACACGGCAAATATTTTATGCTGTTTTAGGCGATTACCTTGGAGGAGAAGCTTACTGGGCTGGGGGTCTGCATCTCTATACGCCTCTTCCTTTCCGGCCAGGCCGAGGTGGTTTCGGAGATCTCTTTCGAACACACTTTTTCCTCAATGCTGGCAATCTCTGCAACCTTAATTATGGTAAGGACTGGACTACTGCAATGCGCTCTACGTGGGTCTGCCCTTGAAGAGTGTTCAGGGGCTTCCGCTGCTGTAAAAGGCAGCAATGCGGGCAGTTATGTGTGCTTCCTGTCTGGTGCGCGTGACATCTCTGCTCTGCAAGCTGCACGGGTTGGGCCGATGCCTGTTTCTTGTCTGCCCATCTTGCTTCTAATTCTCAGGAGAAGGACCAAAAGCGCACCTTCGTAAGCTGGCCGAGTGCATCCGGTGGTCGTATGGTGGTGGCATAGTGCTGAGGCTTGGAAACATCGCTCGACTAGAACTCAACTACTGTATCCCCATGGGAGTACAAACCGGGGATAGGTACGCCAGTGTTTTTACGTCCAGGGTCTGTAGCTCAGAACACCCCTGTAGCCCTCTGATCCAACCACGTTTCAAGCTTGAGACAATCCCATTTCAAGTAGGAAACACCTGGAGGCGGACACTTCTGGAATAGTCCGGACAGCTGTTTTCCACTTGGAAGGACGTGTTTCTAATTCAAAATGTTTTGTATACCCCAGCCACTGGGCTAAAAGGAACTAGAGTTTCGGTTTGTTCTTCTTCTTCTTCATTTGACCTAAAACCATCTGGCCTGGTTGTCTCCGGAATTGGGCCTTCCCTGTGAGAGCAGCAGCATGGTGCCAGCAGAGAGAAATGCTGCTTAACGTCCTGTGGAAAGTACAACTTTGATCCTGTCGTTATCTCTTCAGATTACGGAGTCCACAGGCTTGTATATGAGATGTAGAGAATTAGAGCTTTTTCAGTGACTATCAAGAGCACTCCATCATTCTGAAAAGTAAACGAATGCGCCATTCGAGATTGTGGCCCGATTGAGCAGCTTCGTCTTCAGGGGCTGTTGCGCACAGAATAAATCGCCCCACTCCTTCATGAGAGAATATACAGAGGGGCTCATTTGATCCGCGAGAGAGATTGGTAAAACGCAGTTGCAGACACATTTGTCTCCTGTCCGCAGGAAGCATCCACAGCCTTTAGATTTTAGACTTACAACATTTGTTTTTTATTATTCCTGGATGCTGGAAAAGTGAGTGAAAATGAGTAGCTCTGGGAAATAGATAATGACGAAATAAACCCACTGTGGTATTAAAAGTGGACCTGAAGATCAAACCCTTTAGCAAATGTATTCTTATTTTCCCTGGAGCTTTGAGCTGCCTTAGACAGAAGAAAGATCTTTTTGATGTTAATGTTACATCACTGGAAGTTAGAAATTTGGTGATCTGCCAGTTACTTTGATGTCAGCTGAAGACCATCTTCAACTCTGTTTTGTGTTGAGGCAGGCAGGCAGAACGGAGGCTGGAACTGTGTGTGTGAATTAGGTGGAGATGGGAAATCGAACGAGGTGTCGGCAGAATCTTTTGTGGCCCCCGGTCTGAATGCTCAGGCTTCGCGATGGAAGCTTGCCACAAATCTTTGTGTGTTTATTGAGGAGTGAGTTCGTTTCCTGAGTACTGCCTCTTGGGTCAGTACAAAAAGAATATCAGGCTTTTATCTTCTAGTGATTATTTGAAATAAAGGAATGAAACAAAATGTTTTGAATCTATTGGGGAAAAGAGCACATCGTATTTACACTTCTTTCCTTTGTTTTTCCAGAATATGTGATGGAGTCCAATTTGGAGCTGGGATAAGATTCCTGTAACATCCGTGTCCTTTGGCAGTGTTGGCCCCAAAGGAGCTGCTGAGTTCAGCTAGGCTATGGTGATATCCTAGATACATTTTTGTTGAAGTATAATTATGTATGAAGGATTAACTTCAATAAAAAATGGAAAAAGTATCTTTTACGTAGTGTTTTATCTTTGATACGTCAAAGATAATGTGACCTTTTCTGTGACATTCAGCCCAAGGCTTGACTTTGCCAGTCCTGATGCCATCTCCCCAGTGACTGACACTGAAATCTCAGCTTCCAGAAATTTCAGGAAGCTTCAGAAATCTCAACTTTCAGGAAGACATGAAGACCGTCTGGCAAGTCGCCACTCGACAAAGTGAATCGGCTTCCTCTCTGGAAACAGAGTGAAGGCAAGGAGTCCAGCCAGCTGCTGCTGCTTCTTGCTGACTTCGCTATGGAGACGGGGCGGCGGCAGGCCGCTTAAATACTTAGGTAATGGGCTGGTCTTTCTTTTTGAATAAATGCCTGTGAGGAGGAGGAACACGCTGCGCATAGCATTCAAATAGCATTCTTCGGGGTCAGTTTTTAAAAAAAAAATAACTCCAAGTCAGGAGTCTTGGTAGCACCTTTTCCAACTAACTCATTTTATTATTAAAAGGCCTGAGAACAAAAAGTGTCTATCACCATGCAAAGTTTGTATGTTGCCTAAAAATACTTATTTTTAGCGGCATTTTGTCAGCCCTATGAGGTTGACCAGATCAGGAACGTGACTCCACAGGATGACTAGAATGGAACTTCATTGAGATTGGCTCACGTAGCAGACTCTTGCAAGTCTGCCTGTGTTTTCCCTCCCCTCCCCAGGGAATGCTGGGTGGGGGGCAGTCTGAGTAACACTTTCCTGCCCCCTGGGCTTAACAGCGGGCTTCTTCTGCCCCTTTTATTGTCCTAACAACTTCTGGACAGCTTCTCCCAGGTCATCTCCAGGGCTCCCTTTGGATTTCCTGCTCTTTGCCAAAGAAGAGTCCCAGAGCAGAGTGCCAAACGCAATGGAAGGTGGTTTAATTCCAGCAAGACAGTTCGTATCTTCTTTACGTTGACCGAAACATCCAACACTAAGTGGATTTCCAAAAATACGGCCATTTTTTAAAACCATCTTTCTTTCCATAAACCAGTGTGGTGTGTGAATTGGGTCTTTAGGTTACATCAAGAAAAAGGATGGTTTGGTTACTTCCGGACTGGACATGGCAGGATACATTAAGCAATAACTTTAGAAATCGCAGCTGATAATGAAATGGAGCTTTTTGATCATCAGAACTGCGTTCTCTCCCAACAGAAGACCCTCAGGGATACCAGTTTTGCATTTTGTTTAAGGCTCTTCCTTAAAGGATGAAAAGTCTTGGCTGGCCTTAGTGTCAGTTATTTCTACAAATGTCACTTTTGCACAAGCCCTTTTGCTGATAAATAAGCCTTCGTAAGAACGGGTTTTTCTGGCTGCTCTCCTGGAATTTTGGAATCCTTTGCCAAATTCAGGTGACTCCAGGGACATTTTTCCCCCCTTCTGTTCTGCCTTTGAAGAGTCTGTGAGAATGATGGCTTCATTTTACTCCCTTAGCAAATGCAGATGATGACTTTTAGTAAGTTTCAGTAGCTTCTTTCCACTAGAAAAATAAAAATGGTTTATATTTGTGAATGTATTGTTTCCTAATTTAAAACTGTCAGCTGCCCAGAGTCGTCTTAGTAAAATAATCAAATGTATAAAAGCAAGGAGTAAAAAAACCTGGTAAAATGTACTTCTAAGTTTCCTTTCAGAATGTAAGCTTGCGTGTTTTAGGTATTTAATTAAAGAGTCCCAGGTTTTGGATTACTCATTTTCCTAAATTATACAATAGATCGAGTTTCTCCTTTTGAAGAACATGCAATCCCCTCTAGATAGAAAATGCGAAATTTAGCCATGGCCAAACATCTGGTGAATTTGACAGAATTAAACAAAGATCTTGGAGAAGAGATTGCTTTCCGTTATTGTTTGAAAAGTAGCAGGTTCCAACTTTTGACAAGTTGTTCAAGATTAATCCAACTTTAGAATGTTGACAGCGGGAATTATATCTGGCTAGTTTTATCTTTTAAAAAAGTAGTTTTCCAAACTACAGACAAATCAGGCCGCAGTGCTGATTCTCAACCAGTTGTAAGAGTGGGTTTCGTTATTTATGTGAAGAGGAAGCACGGTTTAGTAATTATCACTGTTAATACGTTTCATCTTATTGAAAAAATGAAACAAAACGTATCAGCTGAATCAAAAGTTGAAAGTAAATAATAGGTGCTTCCTTTATTTTTTCTTTTTTATATCCAATACTAGCATAAACCAAAATCTGTAGTTTGCATAAATTACAATGAAATTAGAAACATTAATCTTATTAAAGAAACAACATTTTATAAATAAATACCATTGTTGGAACAGGGACTGGGTGACCTCTCCAGTTCTAAAAGAAGCTTGTAATAAAGGCTCAAGGAAACAGAGGGAAGGTATGAACTTGGTATTTTCTGGGGAAATGCAGAAATCCTGCCTAGGCCACACCAGTCTGGCCGATGGCTTTCTGGAAGTTATTCCACGAAACTGGAAGCACGACCTGCAGGAAGCACCACAGGAGTGGTCCAGGGGAGGAAGACCACTCTGATCTCCTCTGGAACGCTGAATCCAAGAATGGGTTTTGCACGTCCCTATTGAGTCACCTTTTGGTTCCACACACCAAAAGTGTGGTGCGGGTAGAGCCAGTTTTCGCCTTCAGACGGATCTCGGGTTCTTCCTCCTCCTCTGAAGCCCGTCTCAAGAGTCAGACTCCTCTTCCGGACACAGGAAGCGCATATCCACCTACCAGAAAAAAACAGGAAGGCCGTATGCAAAGAATGGGGTCCTCCTCTCTGGCCAGAAGAGGCTTTAAAAAGCAGAACTCCTTGCTAGAAATTGTGACGACTATTCGTCTAGGTTTGATTACAACACACGTGTTGCTTTAAGGCGTGGTCGGGGGCAACACGCGTGCTCCCATGCACGCCAAAGGACTTTTTGGAGACTGAAACCCAGCACGGCGCAGTCTATACACAAGCACACAGCGATTGTATGTTTATGTATGTGTGTGTGTCGCACGCACTGTGTGTATATTTGTAAGGTGAAGATGTTGTGTACATGAAGCCTTACCACAGGCAGGATTTTTCATGGGGTGCACCGCCATTTAACACAAAGTCGCCCCGAGGAAGAGCAACGGGGGGGGGGGATTCCCGTTTGCAATGCTGCGATTCCAGCAGCCTTCTGTTGCTCTGGTCCCTCACTCAGCTCGCTTTGCTCATTTTTACTCTGCACGTGGGCAGGAGAAGCATGGTCCTCGCATTCTTCTGCAACTTAAAGCAAAAGGTGACCCCGTCATGAAGAGCATGGATGAGCATCGATGTGCACATTCTTCCTCGGACTGCTAAAGCCTTGGCTCTCTCTGGCTATTTCCTTATAGGAGATACAGATTCTGGTCTTCTGACCGCTGCTGTGGCGCTATAATGCAAACTTGACGTTAGTCCACGATAGCAAAAAAAAAAGAAAAGAAAGAAAGGCTGGTCGCCTTTTTTCCCGCTAAATAAAACATTTCATGAAAGGGCTGAAGCTTCCTCTCGGTTTTACAATCATGCGAACTGGATTCCTGGTGAGGTCCCCTGTTCTCAGCCCCGGTGGTTTCCCACTGCCGCCGCCTTTGTCTTCCTAGCGCAGCCTACATCCCGGAGATCTCCTGGTGGTCCCTTGACCAGCCTCAATTCCACGCTTGGCTCAGCCAGGAGGCCCCAGCAGCCCCCTCCCCAGATCCTGCCGCTGCTCGGGGGCGTTTGGCTCCAGCCTTCCCGGGCTGGAA